TTTCATAGAAAATCTGCCTCTGGGTGCAAGGTGGGGCCCGAATGATCTCCACAGTGGACTTCAAACTGGTCTGAGGAGTCTTGGGCATGGTAGATGGGGGAGTTCAGGGACCCATCTCTACTCCCCCTCATCTCTGATCTTTGCTTGACACGCATACCTCCACCTTGTCCTGAATTAGGAATTGAGTTTAAAGCTATTTTTTTTAAGGGTCCCATGACTCACAGTTTGAAAACCACTAGTTAGACAAACCATACCACACCAGGCTTTTTGTTGTAGGGAACTGTCTTATTTCAGAGGGCCCCATCTGACCTGTTGACCTAGGGTGTCTCCAAAGCCAGGTAATAATAGGCCGTGCTCTAATCTAAGGAGACTCCACTGTATTTGCAGAGAGCTTTGAAATGTTCTGGGAAAAAAGCTGATCAGATGTGCAAGGTATTATATTCACAGAGAGAAAAACCCTCCCAACTCTTTATAAAATGGATTAAGCCAGTTTCTAAGGGCTGCAGGTTTGTGTGATCTTAATCCCACTCCTTACTCCTGATCTGCCACCTTCCTCTTTGTTTCCAGGATGTGCACCTTCCCAGCAGCCCTCCCCCTTCCTGACTCTCCCTTGGGAAGAACTAAGGGACGCCCTCACCCTTGCACCAACCGTGCCAGGGCTTCCTTTTTACTGTGGACACATTTCACATTCACAGGCTCTGATCAGATGGAGGAAAATCAGAACAAAATATGGTAATTATGCCATTGTGCATTCAGAGACTCAGACTGAAGCGGCAGATGGGAAAAGTTGTGGATCGCAACCCTATGCAATATTTGACAGAGTATCAGTCAAATACAGTTCACCCAGATCCATGTTTCTGTCAGCCCCTCTTAGCTAAAGTTAATTCAAACTGACAGGAGCGACCTCAGCTCTTTGCAAAGGGGTAATGTCTACTTTAGTGCTGTCCCTCCAGTGGACACCCGGACGGAGTCTTCCACCGTCAGAGTGGGTTTCTAAGGAAGGGAGAGACCCCAGGTTGCCAAAATGCTCTGGAAGGTCTTTTGGCTCACTCTGCTGAGAAGGGAAGAGTGTCCATGGGCAGCTGCTCCTGAGAGAAGCAACTCTCCACTGTGGTCTCAGGACTGGCACCCCTACCTCAGGGTGTGGGCACAGAAGGCTTCACTCAGCTTTTTTTCCCCCACATGTGAAGACGTCGTAGAAGCTTCCCCAGCAGGTAGAAACCCTGAGGCAACTCTGCCACCTCTTATCAGCTGCCCATGAGCAGCTTCAGATGAGTTGTTTTAGTAACTTCTGTCTTGCTATTCCATGTACAGACTCACAGAAAGCCATAACCTTTGGGACGGTCCATTCTACCAGCACTCATGGTTTCTGAGGTTGCTTTGTTGGGATGTTATCACCATGAGAGAGGATCATGATGCAGGAGCTCACCTCCATTTCCCATCACATGAACTTGTCTGCCTTTGGGAATTGCATGTGGAAAGTTGGCTTTGTTCGTCTACTATTAAGCAGGGTAGACCACCCATGAGCCTGGCTTGTCAATCATTAAAGAGAGGCCCTGCCTTTTCAGCAGCTGGTAAACGATTTATCATCCAAAACTCAACTCATTGCTCACTTTCTCCAGAAACCTTCACGACACCACCGAAACTGCCATTCTCTTGCTCTCAGGGCAGTTTCTGGGCTGTATGTACTTCTGTTTCTGCACTTACCACACGGGCATCATAATCATTTTTTTTTCCCACTTCTCTAATTTCCCCTTTCAGCTATGATTACCAAGCTTTAACAAAACTGAATATTTGAATTGCCTATTGAATAAAGTAATAGCTCATGTGATCTAATCTATAGACTATATATGATTTCCTGTAATTGCCACAATCTTTTCCTCCAGCTTATAGTACTAAAGATGGACATATCTCTTGCTTTTCCTTTACTTTTTATGAGATTTCCTATACCCTGAAAGCCTCCCTTGAGGGATCCCCTCTCCAGGGTCCGGCCAGGGCCATTTGTACAAACACCCTCTCCTCTCACACTGACTTCTGGAACTTGTGTCTTTTCCAGACTTTCTTGTCCACTGATTTATTGACACCCTTGAGACACATCAGAGTCATACAAGAAATGGTGGTCTTCAAAGGGGAAATGATTCAACTCTCCACCTTTTTCTTCCCAGAAGTTTCCTGGATTCTTGTGCAAATTTACCTACTTCATCCCCAGCAACAGCTCTGTATGCCAAGAGGAATGGAGAGAGGAAACCTTTGAGGGGCTGTACACTGACCATTCTCCCTGCAGGACAGTGAGTGCCTGCTTGACGTATGTATGTTTCTCAAGTGACTCTTTTCCGAATGGTAAGTCCTGCTCCAAGAGGGTTCACTGTGTCCATCTGCAGTTATCCAAACAGCTGTTGAAATTATTAAACTCCTCCAGATGTTCATCTAAGATGAATAAGTATGGTCTCTGCCTTCACAGAGCCACCATTCCATGTGGGAGCACTCTGATCAGATGGAGGCATCCATGCTTTCTGGTTGACCTTGCCACTAATTCTGCAATGCTGCGACCTTCTACTTCTGGGAACATACAGGGTATGAAAAGATTGTTTGGCCTGCATGGTTTTTCAATGAGTAGCTCTGTGATGGCAACCATGCCAACAGAACATCTCTGGGAACTGACAGCAGGAGGTGGGCCTCTGTGTCCAGGGACTGACCCAGCTGTCCTTGTTCAACCTTTACGGGTTCCAGATCCAAGGGTTCTTGACGGAAAGAGATGGAAGATCAGTGGAGCCGCTTGTCTTGGGCTCACAAATGGCTAATTAATTAATTACACCACACACACAAAAAAACTGGTTGGGCAGGTGCTCCCAGTGCTGCTGTTGGTTAAGGAATTACTGGCAGCTGACAGGGGAGAGATGGGAGAGCAGGACCAAGAGGTCAGGAAGCACCTGCAGGGGGAGAAACACAAGCCTTCTATTCTCAGGTTGAGGCTGTGTATGTATAAGATTGTTTCAATAATATATTGTGCAGAAACTACCCCAAAACCACGGTTATCTGCAACAATTTGTTTTTGTTATGACTCAGCCTTCTGGCCTGGGCTGAGCTGGAGTTTCTTCTACTCTCCCTGGTGTCTGCAGGAATGGCAAGATGACTCCATTTGTCAGCTAAGAGATCTGTGTTTCCAGTAGGCAGACTTAAGTGTCCAGCACCCAGAAGATTCTAGGGAATGGCATAATGAGTAACTGAGCATCCATAAAAGCCTGAAGTTTGTAAGCAAGAACAGCTAAGCTGTCCCTGGTATACGTGTCCCTGGCCTGGTGGGTGGTGGGTATTATGCTGGTGAGAAGATTCTCAGAAGAATTAGGAGAGAATGTTCAGGTAAAGAGATCCACGTCATCCTGGGTATCAGAAGGAGACATTCTTCATTCCTGATTGGAAACAGGAAATTAATTTCCATTCTTGTTTGCTTTGCTGGTTTGACTTTTGAAAGGATGGAAGAGATGGCAACGAAGAGAAATGGGAAAGTTAGGTGTTAAAGAGGAACTCTGGAGCATGCAGACAAATCCCAGTAAATCTGGTTTGCTTCAGGCACCTGAGGCTACATGGGAGAAGGGCACAGGGATATCAGGGATGATGTCAGTTCTCTAGAGCATCAGGAGAGATGGAAACTGCTCCAACTACTCAGAGGATTCCACACAATGGTGAAAAACCTGCCAAGGGAGGACAGACACCCTTGGCTTCTGGGTACTGTACAATAGGAGGAGCAGAGTCCATGCGAAGCCGATAAACTGCCATCATCCATTTATCTTAATTCTGTGGATTCTGGTGGCAGCAGCCTCCTCCCCTGTAATGGTACTTGCATTAGTTACCCAATGTTCCTGTAACACATCACCAGAGACTTGGTGGCTCAGTTCAACACAGACTTACTCTCATCCAGTTCCACAGGTCACAAGTCTAGGTCAAGGCATCCACAGGCTGCATTCTTTCTGGAGGCTTCAGGGAAGAGTCTGTTTCCCTAGCCTCTCTCTGCCTGCTTTCTTGGCTCATAGGCCCTCCTTGCATCATTCCAGCCTCTTGCTTCCATAATCACATCTCCTACTACCAACTCGGATTCCCCACTTTTGTCTTGTAAGGACCCTTGTGATTACACTGGGCTCACCCCAATAATCCAGGACAATCTCCCCCTTCAAAATATTTTACTGAATCATATCTGTGGACTCCCTTTTGCCATGAGGTAACATATTCACTGGTTTCAGGGATTTGCACGTGGAGCAGCACATCCCAGAGAAATCAGTGTTGCTCTAAGACCTTGGCCATTATCTCTAGAGGTCGTCCCGTTAGATGAAAGGGCAGGACAATACTGCAAAGTTGTGTTACTTTTGATCAGCACAAAACTCTAACCCTCTTGAATGTCTGTGTTATGCAAAACCAAGGCTATGTTTCTTTTTTTCAAATATAAAATTGTAAGGCATATGCTTTTGTACTGTACCTCTCAGAGAGCCCTGTCGGTTATGTCACTTGACGAAACCCTGAAGGAACTGCTATCTAATTTCTGCTCCTTTCTGTTTCCTAGAATGGCACTGTTCAATATGGCAGCCATTAGCCAGTGTGCCTATGTAGATTCAACATTTGTTCGTCAGCTGGGCGTGGCGGTGCACTCCTGTAATCCCAGCACTCGAGAGGCTGAGGCAGGAGGATCGCTGTGAGTTCGAGACCAGCCTGGGCTAGTGAGTTCCAGGTCAGTCTCAACTACATGAGATCCTGTCTCAAAAAACAAAAAAACAAAACAAAAAAATGTTCGTCAGGCATACTCGCCACACTACGCATACTCAATTGCCACGAAGAGCACATTACTTCTATTAGAGAGCATCCTGGGAAGTTCTGTTGGACAGTGCTGTTCTGGTACCAATAGTGCGCGTTGTTGCCCACCTCCTGGCTGCCCAGCTCCCCACGCCCACATCAATTATTTCCTCACCTCTCAAGCCACCAGGGGCGCACTTCCAAAGACTGTTACTTACCCATGCCTTGCTGGCGAAGTTGTGTCCAGAGGAAAACACCAAAGTTGTGGTAGCAGGATTCAAGCCTCAATGTCCAGGGAAAGGCCTCAAAGGAAATGGAAAACAAGATGGAGGATGACTCGCTTATTTTGGAGTACAGTCTTTTGACAGTCGGGCAAATTCCCATCAGGCCAGGCTCTGGCTGAAACACTCTCCTTCATAAAGAACACCAGGATTCACTTCTGTCCTCTGCGAGCGGCTCCACCCTGCGAACCTGGGACAAATCTGAGGGAACCGACCCAGACATTTCCAACGCGTCTCTCAGCAGCCTGAAACAAAGCTCCATGTCCAAGCAGCTCTCGGGTCACTGTGTCTCCCGGGGAGAGGAATACTTTGCACATGTTAAGTGCTCTGGAAGCACTTATCTAAAGCCAGGCATTGATGAAGTCTAGGCAGGCTCTGCTTGGTGGATAGATTCGAGAATCAGAGAACGGGTAACGCGTGGACGCGCTGTTCACAAACTCTGTCCTCTCCCGCTACCCGTCCTTTCCGGACCAGCCAATGAGAGAAGACTCCAAGCTCAGGCTTCTCCTGATTGGCGGGTGACCGCACATGCTCCATCAGGGCCTGGAAAGGCCTTCAGCAGAACCAGGAGGGAAAGCGACTGTGCTCTATGCTGGGCTTGACCTCGCCAGTGCAGGCTTCCACCGGGCAAAGTCCCTCAGGGTATGGGTGAGGTCCCATCCGCTTCCTCCTCGGGCTGAGAGCCCTGTGGCCAGACAGGACCCCACAGAGCAGGAGCAGAATGGTGGACTCTGGTCTCCTTTCTTTTACACATTTCTCAGGCTCTCATGAATCTGCTCCTTTCACTTTGGGCAGAGAATAATGAAAGTGAACTTGTCACTTTCCTGAATGGGCATATTTTATGCTGACTCACAGTTTCTAGAGGTAGTATTAATAGGAACCAAGTGACACTGCGGCCGGAAGAGGAAGAGAAAGGTTTGGATTTCCTCAGATGGAACTCCAAAATACATTTTGAGCAGAAAAACTTATTAGAACGGTTCCTCTTGCGGGGTGGGGGGCAACAATAAAAAACAGTCATTGCATTGTCATTAAAAACAGCTCAAAGCAGCCTGTTCCCATTTCTGAAAATGTGCTGCACAGTCATGGCGAGGGGAAAAGTGTGAATACCTCTTAACTCCAAGACATCACGCTCCACACTTCCTGTGGGTCAGTGAGTTTTTCAGTTATAAAGTAAAAACCATTTTGGGAAGCAGGAGATTTACCGTGTGACTTCATCTTGTCTTCTTCTTTGTACGGCCTCACAGCATCTCATCATAACAAGGTTCAGGCTTCAAGCTTGATGTTCAAGTCCAATTTGGGAATAAAGATGGAGACTTTGCACCTCATCACCTTGCAAGACAAAGGATGGAAGGAGAAAGCAGAAAGGGAAGTAGGGAGGGAGAGGAAGGGCTAGTCTTTCCAGAGCAAGGCAGACCACCAGCACCAGAAATATTACATCTGGAAATGAGTGTAAAGGCTCTCTCTCATCTCCTCTATCTCTATCTCCCTCCCTTCCTTCCTAATTCCTCTCTCTTCCTTCCTTCCATTTATTTATTTAGTGCTGGGGACTGAACTCAGCAACTATGCCACATTCCCAGATTGAGGACCTTTTCTTTTATCTAGATATTCTCAGGCTTTTGTTTGTTTGTAGATACCCCTTGACTTATAATGCTGTTACATCAGATAAACCCATTGTAAGTTGTGTAAGTTAAAAATGCATTTATCACACCACGTCTACCAAACATCCCTGCTTAGCAACACAGTAGACTATCAGTATTTACCCCTGTGGTTGCGTGGCTGACTGAGACCTGTGGTTGCTGTCACTGCCCAGCACATATTACACTGCATATTTAAAATATTTTTTGTTTGTTTGAGACAAAGTCTTGCTGTGTTGTTCAGGTGGGCCTCAAACTCCTGTTCTCAGGTTTTCCCTCGGCCTCGGCCTGCTGAGTAGCTGAGACTACAGGACTATGTCATCGTGCCTAGCTTTTGTACTGTACATTGCTATCTCTGGAAAAGATCAACAGTGAAAATTCGAAGCACAGTTTCTACTGAATGGAAATCATCCTGCTCTGTCATAAAGTTGAAAGGATATAAATTGAACTACCTTTAAGTCGTGGTTGTCTCCAGTTATGTTTGTAGGAGCAGAATCCATCCCTCTCCTTCCCCAAGTGCTATCTTAAGCAAAAGCACAATCATTAAAACAGGTATCTGGTGCATCTCCAAACTCATGCCTTGGCATTCTGCTAACCTTCCTCCTCCCGTATACCCCAGGGCTCCTTGGTACAGTCTCAAACCACAGATCTGACCGAACACCTCAATATGCCAATGAGGAAACTGAGGTCCCAAAAGGGGAAGTGATCACTGGAGAAAGGGTGGAAAATTTCTCTCAGATCATGTGCCATAGCATGGCAGAGATGGGCCCAAATCTTAGAAATGAAGTGAGGTGGGAGGCAGGAGTCAATGGGGGTGGTTGTGTGAGAGCTGCCCAGGAGATGACCTTGAGGAATGTGGCTGTGTGGTTTGTAAGGAGCATGGTTCCAGGGAGCTGGAGACCCCACAGTTTCCCCTGTGTCCCTTCTCTGTTTTCTATCAGCTGCTCTAATTCAGGGTCACTCTTGACATCAAGGCTTTTGGGGATAACACCATGCATGATGGTTACAACATACACATTTCAGGGGCAAAGGGATCAACTGCAAATAGCACTCACTTTAGAAAGCCTTCCAACTCAATCATCAGCTAGCAGTGGTGGCGAATCCATGCGCTGTAGCAGACTGTTTATTATCACCAAGAGTTCTAAGAGCTTAGAGTATGAGGGCTTAGAGAAAGAGGGCAAATTTGTCGCAGACGTTCTGCACTTTCACCCCACACCAATGACAGGCATTACCAATCAATCACAGCACTTTTTCCTGTTCATCTTCCATACAGCTTCAAAATCATTTTCAATACATGTTCTGAGCAGGCAGCCATTATCATTTGACCGAGAGGTAGCCCTTAAGATGAAATCTCTTTGTTTTTAGTGGTTTGTGGCTGTGCTGATGGACACAATGGCCATGTACCTCTATGGTGTATCTTTAAGGAGAAGCCTGGAACTGCATTTCCCGCAACCCCTTCCCCTGTACATCTCCAAGCAAGGGTCCCCTGATGATGAGAAGCATTGCTGAGAGAGCTGAGAGGTAGAGGAAGAGAACTGCTGTCATTCTCTGCTGAGAGCTGCAGTTCAGGGCTTGGGCAAGACTCAATCCCGGGAGAACTCCATTCTTAGGTGCATCTAGCTGCTAAAGTTGTGTCTGCAGCAGCCTCTGAGATTGCTGGGTCTTTTGTAGCTTCTGGTCAAGCTCCTATAAATCACCAGCCTCTGGTAGCTGTTGGCCTGGACCTTGCTCCCCCATTTCTTCTAGCAGTCAGGCAAGGGTCCAGTTCCCTGTATCAGAACCCTTCCTTCTTGGAGTACCTGCTGTAGCTTCTGTTTTCATGGCCAGCTCCCCCAGTGGCTACAGAAGCATGAAAACCTTGAAGGCACCTTGGCCAGCAGGATGGATTTTCTCTACTTTGCTTAGTGTGAAAGGTGGATTCTCTTTGCATTGTTCTCCTTGTTTTGTTTTTTTTTTAATGTTACTCCCATGTCACCTACATACCATGCTTAGCAGGAAGCAATGCTGTGTGTGTGTGTGTGTGTGTGTGTGTGTGTGTAGGGGAGATTTCCAAGAATTAGAATAGAATTTTTTTTTTTTGGTAGTGAGGATCGAACTTGGGTCCTTGCACTTGCAAGGCAGGTGGTGGAACCATTGAGCCAAATCCCCAGCCCTAGAATAGAATTTGGAGGGATGATCTTGTACAGAAACAAGTTGGTTCTTTTCATTTTCTTGATGGGAAAAACTGAGGCTCAGAGAGGAGCGTTTGCTAGTTTGTCCCAAAGCTGGTGTTAGATGCCAGACCTGCTGACCTGGACCTGTTCTCGTTGGACTCTAGGGTCACAAATAAGGGGATTCAAATTAGATTGTAAGTAAGGCACAGCCAAGTTAAAATATTTCCCAGGGCAGGGGCTGCTTTGGTGTGAGGTGGTAAGAACGGGGCTGTGAAGGGAGACAGACAAGAGGGACTTTTGGGAGGTGAGTTCGGTGGCCTCCTGGGGGTGGGGAGGCAGAGTGAGAAGGTCTCATGATAACACGAGCATATGAAAACCAGCGCTGTCCTAATCCTAACCCTGCCACGGAAACCTTATCACTTTTCCATCTGGTAACAAGCCATTCATCCTCAATCCTTGCTTCTGTATCCAATTTTTAAAAAACATGTGGTGGAATTAAAATCAACTGCATTGCTTTCTTACTGCAGTCATACCCTGTTTCCACGGGCCTTCGAGCTGTGGGCTGCATTGGATCAGATTCCTGGTCTCAAGCCACTGACTACAAGAGAAGGTATTTGTTGGAAGACTATTCAGGGAGGGACAGCACTGTCAGGAAGGCAAAACTACCCGTGGAAACTGTTCTCTGGACAGTGGGTGCCACCCTGGATACTGCCAAACTGGGTGCTTAGCTCCCACTGCCCCACTGCTCAGAAAGTGTCCATGGCTGCCATGGGCACTGCCGGAATGAGTTCATCACCACCTTTCTGTTTTAGGAGATCTATTTTCTGCTTCGGGCTTCTGGAGAGACCAAGTGCCCATGTTCGTTGATCTCTGGAGCTAAGGGTTCTCTAGAGCTGGGTCTGGGCAGCCATGTGACAAGGCCCATGACAGCCACCATCTCGGAGGGTAGATTCAGACCCCTCCTCTCTGTCAGGTGTTTCTTCCTTTTCTCCAATTGCCTGAGAGCCACCTTCAGGGAGTTTCTCTGGACTTGTCTTTTCCTCCTCTGAGGAGGTAAAGACTATGTCTTTGTACTGTTTTCTGTTTCGTATGAATGAAAAACAGTCCCCTTCTCTTCCAGCATAGCTCTCTTAGGTAGGATTTTTTGGTGAACCACACCTTCTGTATAATGTTACTCACCCTCTCAGCCCTTGCAGAAGTGGCTCTTGCTTCTACATAAGTGGGAGGCTGGTGAGGGTCAGGGTCACAGGCACAGGTCCCAGGAGTCCCACAGTTTGCTTCCTTCTTTCCAGGGAGAGTGTGGGTGAAGGTAGCCCCCGAGGAAGCATGGTTCTCCTCCTGAACTGTTTTCTGAACATTTGGCAAGTCAGTCTGGCACTGGCTGAGCCAGCCACACATTCATTCTTGTTGTCACCACCGCTATTGGCTGCAGTGTCTGTTTAAGTCACATTTCCTAGATGCCAGGCGTTGTGCTAAGTATCTAACCTAAATTAGCTCATTTAATCTTCTCCACTTAACAAATAACACAACTGTTGCCCAAGGCCACACAGCCAGCAAAGGGTCGGGATTTGAATACCGGGCAAATCCTATTCTTGTCCCACTGGGTGAAAACATAGTCCGCCATACCCTGCATAAGGAAATATAAACCCATCTCAGGCTGCCTTTCCCCGGGGTCCAGATGTTCTGAGAACCAGCTGATTGTGAGGGCATCTGGGCACTCAGGAAAGCAGGCAGGGCAGCAACTGCCCAGGGGCCACTAGATGGGCAGAGGGGGAGGGGCCAAGTATGGGTTCGGGATTGGGGAGGCCGTGGGGGCTTCTCACACCCTGGCGTTCTGGGATAAGTGAGGAGTCCACCAGGAACACAGCAGACCAGTCATTCTGAGCTCTCTACAGTGAGGGAATTGCCCTCACCACTGGCAATCACCTGGACAGGCGGAGACGCAGGGGCAGGAAAAGGAAGGGAAACTTCAGAGTGAGGAAAGGGGCTACATAAGGCCCCAGCTGTGAGCTGTGGGCCTGGGGTGGGGGGGGCTGGCTAGAAGTGGGGTCCTGTGAGATTGGATGTGCTCCCCATTTTTGGCTTTCCCTGGTTGTCCTAAATTGGAAGTAATGACCAAAAATAGGGAAGCTGCCGATTACTAATCAAGAGCTGGCTATCTTGGGCCAATTATTACAGAAGTCACTGTTTAGCCTTCTGTTTCATCACTAGAGATGGCATACTGGCCTCTGCAAGTCTGACAGAGGACCAGCTTCCTGGGTTTACTGTAGAGGTCTGGGCCCAGGTTCTGTCTTCATGCATGGTCTGGTTGTTGTCTTGGTGTATCTTTGCCTCTCAACACTCAGCCCCTGGTGGTCCCTTTTACAGATGAGGCAAGTGAGGTGCACAGAAGACAATGACACATCTCAAGAACCCCAGCCCCTATGTGAAGCCAGGCCTGCCTCATCCCACATGCGTTGCCTTTCCTGCCCCTACTCCCCATTCCCAGCTTCTCTGACTCTGTTCCCAGCAAAGAGGATGGCGACATGGTCTGACCCTCAAC